AATTACGATTTGGGACCAATATGTAATACCAGTGAAGCAAAAATTCTCTGCAGGTTGTACAAGAAATTTCTTAAAAAGTATTGTTTACGTTAGAAGCGTTATTAAAAGTATATCAAATATACGTAGAAGAATCCATCGTCGATTAATTGCTTACAGAGTCGACTAGCATTTCGCTTACAAGAAAAGCTCCGCTCATATATGTCACGCATATGGTTTTACTATTAATAACGTTCTTTTGAAATGTCTTTGGCTGCTATATGCCTATGAATACGTGCATTTTTATGCGAAGGTTTCCTTGTTATTACCTTTTTGATCTTGGTTTGGCTTACCTTACCGTTTTGTGTATAATTGCATACAGGCCTTTTCTCACGTTTGTTCAATGTATATCCTGTTTGTAGCCGTATAGCGGATGCACGTAAACGGCTACTCGACCAGTTCTCGGACCCAAACCTTTCTGCAGAGACATTAATAGACACCACAAATCAGTATTTAGGCCTGCTAATGGGGTTTGTGGAAGCTCCAGAAGTTGACGGCCCTGCGATACCGGAAACGTTGAGCAGTGACAGTGATGATAGCGATGACGATGGGGCGGGCGGTAGCGATGAGATCAGTGGTGATGCACCTAAAGATGAAACGAAAAGAAAAGGAACGAAGTCGAAGTCAGAGCCAAAACCAAAGTCGGAGCCAAAACTGATACCAGCGGCCTCAACTCGTCCTTCTTTAAGACGAGTGGTGCGCTACTCATGGTCTAATTCCCTCAGTCGGCAGCCCAAGCCAACGTAAGTGCGCTTCTTATGTGTCTTCAGTTCACCACCCATTTTAGATCGTTGTACGATGCGTATTTTGAACTGTTCGGCGTGCTCTTTAACCTGGCCCTCTGGTATTCCAAACATGCTGCAAAAGTCGCCGCAAGCAACCAGTAAGTGTATGCCTCGTGTCTCTAAATTTTGCATCCTTTTTGTTGATGATTGTCCCGTTCAATATTCCAATTCACGTTATTTTCCGTTATTCTTTCAAAATTTTAGTAACCAATCCTACGCACCGCCCAACAGCCATACTTATGTGTTAGCTCAGCACTAAAGCCTTTGTTTAAATCTACGTAGTTGGGGTGTTTTCTTACGCTGATGCGGTTTACTCCTACGCTCCTCGGTCGTTTTACGACCCGTACAGTAATTTGGATAATATGTTAGATTGAGTTTGGAGTCTGGGTATCCAGGCATGGCCGGACAAAACGCTCAAGGATGATTTAAAAAAGGTAGGTGCGGTTGTAGCGGTTGATAGAAGACTTCAAAGGACTACAAATTTGCTCGTAAAACAAATAGTTAATAAAGGTGGCAGAAGTCTACTTTCCGGTGTAGGTATGCTCTCTCACTATCATAGTTTCACACTGGTAATAAATACCAAAATTCACTTCGCGGCCTACTCCACTACCGCCCCCGCTCCCAGAACGCCAACATCGCACTGTGGGTTTAAATAACATGTAGTCAAACTGTATCACTAAACGAGTATCACATAATCAATCGTCCGTCCGGCGTGCTGGCCGCCGTACCTCACGAGTAATATCTTTTAGCCATCCGTTTGATGTTTTTTTGCAAGAATAACTACTCACGAAGACCATCTCAAGCCTCAGTGCCGTTAATGCCATATACTGGTCTTGTGTGAATTATATATGTAAATAATGAGCGATTAAGTCCTTTGGGAAAGAGAAAAGTTTATTAGGTAAATTTTTTGTACTGTCTCGTAACTTTTTTGTACATATCTCACACGTCTGAAGACGAGTTGGGGAACCAGTTTCGAAAATTCACCTAGTCAACTTTTCTCTTTCCCAAGGGACTTTATTGCTCATTAAATACATCACTTGGGATGCCAATATTTCAATATATACATACTTATATATAGTGGCATAGGCGCGTACACCGATCTGTCAGAGGACCCACTCGTCCCCCCAT